CATAGCATCCGGACCTGCGTTGCTGTTAGCTGTTGAGTCCCCCGGACCAGTCGTTGTACTTGACATTCCATTCTTCATGATTGTTTTAGCAGCTGTTGGTGCTATGCTCACCGTATCCCGGGTTAAGGGCAACGGTGTCGATTGCCTTTTGTTCCTTTGTGGTTCCACAAAGTCAACTCTGGTGCCTTGCGTGCGATCCGCTGCCGGTCTTTCTTGTGAGGTAGAATTACTCAAGATTGCATCCAATTTCGCCTGTATTGCACACGAACTCTCGGCCTGATTTTTGCTCATTGTGTCCATTCTCTTTTCCAGGCTACCTAATTGGCTGTTGACATCATCATATCGGTTTCTTAACTGTTGCAAATCTTTTTTGATGTTCTTATCTCGTTCTTCATTGGTGGTTTCTACATTATCTGACATCTCCTTGAGTCTCTCTTCTGTTGCCTTGGCCAGGTTAAAATAACTATCCAGATACTCGTTTTTGTTGTATCTTAATTCTTTTCTTATCACTTCTCTGTCCTCTTCGCTGTGCTTCAGCTTTTTGTCGATCTGATTCAGTTTCGCCATCAAGTCACCTAGCTCAAGAGTAGCCTCTTCATGGTCAGCCGTCGGTTTTTCTTCGGCCGTCGCTTCTGCTCTAGTTTGTTCCTCTCTCGGATTGGCTTCTGTCGTCTTCGTGCTCACTGTTCCAAATGTTCGTGCTCTTTCAGCTTTTGGTTCTTCAGTCACGTTCTCTTTCGTTTTTATTCCGACCATCATCGCCAACCTTTCTGTAAAAGATGTCTTTTTTACTTGAGAGTCTTCTTTCACCGTTTCTTCGGTGTTGCCTATTGCATCTTCCACGTTGTCTATTGGTGAGAATTCTATGGGTTTCGAGTTTGGTTCTTCTGCATTGGGCATTGGAGTTGACTCCGTCGCTATTTTCCTTGTTTCATCAACACTTTGATCAGGTGTCTCTAGATCAATCTCGATGGCGGGTTCTACTCGTTCCCCTTCCATGCCCTCTCTTGCTCTCTCCGTTGTACTCCTTGTGCTGACCATATTAACTGAAAAGCTCTTCTTTGTTATCTTCGGACCCATTGATGTTGTTTTGCGTAGCGACGAATTATACTTTGCTTCGGTAGGTCTTTTTTCAGCTACCGGTACCCTGCTCCGCCTCATTATTTCTATTTACAATTGCTCTTATTTACAATTTTACTATATACACAATCCTATTCTAAGAATAAAATCTTTCGAGAGGAAAAAAAAATTTCTTAAAAAAAAAAAAATATATACAACGTGGTGAAAACCTTGTTTCAGTTCTCTTTATTAACTTTTCGAGAAACTTTCCTTATTTGTGGTCTCAACCGTACCTGGTTCCAATTAGTCTTGTTCTACCTTAATTCTGTCTTAAAACACCTCTTGTAATTTTACTTCAATTTTTATACTGTCCCAAGACTTCCAATTGCCGTCCCTACTCTTCTTTGTACCGTCCCAGGCTTCTTTCTCCTGTCCCAAGACTGTTCGGTACCGTCCCAGTACTTTCCGGCCGTGTCCCAAGACTCTTGTCCAAGACTACTGTCCCAAGGCTAGTGTCCCAAGACTACTGTTCCAAGATTAGTGTCCCAAGACTAGTGTCCCAAGACTACTGTCCCAAGACTAGTGTCCCAAGACCCTGTCCCAAGACCCTGTCCCAAGACCCTGTCCCAAGACCCTCTCCCAAGACCCTTGTCCCAGGACCCTGTCCCAAGACCTTGTCCCAAGACCCTGTCCCAAGACCTTGTCCCAAGACCCTGTCCCAAGACCTTGTCCCAAGACCCTGTCCCAAGACCCTGTCCCAAGACCCTTGTCCCAGGACCTTGTCCCAAGACCCCGTCCCAAGACCTTGTCCCAAGACCTTGTCCCAAGACCTTGCCCAAGACCCTGTCCCAAGACCCTTGTCCCAAGACCCTGTCCCAAGACCCTGTCCCAAGACCACTGTCCCAAGACTGTACTGTCCCAAGACTGTCCCCAGACTGCTCTGTCCTAAGACTTCTTCGGCACTGTCCCAAGACTGTTGACAAGTGTCTGGGTGGTGGGACTTCTTTCCTCTTCGTTATGGGGACTTCTTGATTCGCCGTACCTTGTACCACCACTCAAGCTCTAGTAAAATTTTCCCAAAATCCTCTCTTAAAAACCAAATGCTGACCCCCCTTTTTCTTATTTCTCTTTTTGGCTACCTCTATTTCAATGTTCCAAGTAACTTGAGACCAAAACCTGTGCGCAGGTATCTTGTGATCACCTGTTCGTACAAAATTTTAACACAAATCCTCACCAAAATGCAACAAAAATCTAAGCAAGAAAAAGTAATAAAAACAGAAAGATGAGCCCACCTAAAATTCAAAGGTGACAAATGTCTACCTTCTATCGAAAAAAATGTCTTGTACCTAATTGCCACGCGTTTCCTTCCCCCCTGCTAGCGATCTTATGGGGTATCACAAAAACTGTGTATGTCCGTTCCCCCCTACCGATCCGACCAGGGTACCTACCTTAACCTAATTCCAACTTTGGATATGCGCTTCCTATGACCAACGCGTGTAAATGACTAATGTAACTAAATCAACGATGCCGACTAATTAGTTACTCTAATTTCCCCCTTTTTACAATTTACAACCGCCAACCTCTAACTTAACCAGCCCCCTTCTAACCTCCCCCCTTTTTAGCCCCCCTTCTTAAGCCTAAAATTACCTTAAGCGCCGGGTGCTAAACCTCTCAAGAGAAAACCGTAGACCTGTCTCCAGGCCTGCTCAAGTAAAAACGTTCCTCAAAACCGGGGGATGTTGCTTATCCTATTTTACACTTATCTCCTATAATGTAATGTGGATTTTAACGATACCCGTTCTGCCCAACTTGAGAACTCGAGAATTGCCAAATCCTTCTTGGCTGCTTTCCCACTCGACTGGTCACCTGTTCCAGTCCAGTCTCCTATTGGTTCAGCTCAAGTGTCCCTGAACCACTTTCCCACTCGGCTGGTCACCTCTTCCAGTCAAGTCTCCTATTGGTTCAGCTCAAGTGTCCCTGAACCACTTTCCCACTCGGCTGGTCACCTCTTCCAGTGAAGACTCCTATTGGTCCAGCTAAGTTCCAAGCTATCTGAAAACCCTTGACAACGCCCCACACTCGGGCACTTTATTCAGTTTACTGGTTTAAATTGCTAGGTTCATCGAAACGATCGAACTTGTAAAACAGTATGGGTATACTATTTAATTAATATAAAGGTTTGATCCAACTAATCTGGTGTCAAAGTCACTGTCTTTTTTCGTTTTATGGTTTTTGTTCCTTTTTCTATTCTTTTTTGGTTTTTGTTTTGCTTTTTGTCTTTTTGCTCGTGTTTTTGTCCCCCTAGTTGCCCCCCTTTACTCGGTTAGCTAAGCCTCGTTCGGAGAGCGTACCAGGAAGTTTTCTTGAGTTTTCGTAAAAAGCTATCACGGTACAACCGGAAGGTTTGCACGTTCCTGTCGAACCGTACCGCCGGTACTCTAGAATGGGCATTCAGCCCGAAGCTGTCTCAAGTGGGTTCGACTCCGTAGTCTTGATGTCGTAAACACCCAGGAGCGCCATAAAAACACTATGTAACATTCGTCTACTGCAGTCACACATGAGGCTTAAGAAAAATAGGCCCTATAACCACTGGCTCAAGGGTCAGGGACACCATCTCTTGTGTTTTTCTACCTCAAGAACTGTCGGAGCCAGTTCGGTTCGTTTGTGACATGAGACTACGACCCGTTACAGCTTAAAGGCTACTACTAAAATATCCCCCCACTCTAGAATTAGAAACGTCCCCATACTTAGTTCTCTAGATACCCAAAATACATGAACGCCGTTAAAAACCGGGTTGGAACAATCCGTTAAGTTACTTTTTATTAGACAGTGGAACTTTGATCCATTTCAGATGGATCAACCTAAAACTCGGCTTACCTCAACATAACAATTATAAAACACACTCTAGAAATTTAAATTAGGTACTCACATCGTAGCACGCTCAAGAAAGGGAAGTACTTCAGTCGGTAATCAACTCGAGAATTAAATAATGTAACTAAATGAGTTTTAATGTTTATCAGTTTCAATGACAAGGACAAGTTTTAACTCTAGGATATAGTTTCTCGTGAACCATTGGGACACTCAAGCTGTCCACCTTTCCACCGAAGGTTCACTCTAGTCCAGTTCAAATAATAATCCAATCGAGTAATGACAATCCAGTTCTCGGGAATACGCTTGTCTCTGTTTCAGATGGGACAGCTCTACTCTTGTTCTATTGTGACAGAAATTGCGAATAGCAATTTCCCACCGTTTTATTTAGCAACTTTCCCGCGATTGTTACTCGATTGTTCTGACTTCTCTTTTCTGATTTTCAGTTATCGCGAGAAAATCGTGCATGACAGGTTCCATTCGAAATTTTGAAAAATTAAATTTCACTCCAAAATCAAGTGTTTTTTGCTTCTCTCAAGGTCAAACTTCCGAATATGACCGACTGGCACAGATAGCAACGTCTCGGAGTTTCTGGAGGTTACTGAGGTTCTCGAGTTTCTTGATGTCGTTGACTCGCCATAAAGTCGTTTTCTTGTCCAGATTCTTGAGGTCTTCGCTGATAGTGGTAACGATTGTGGTTCTAGGTCGGCCAGGAAAACCACCGGTTGTCTTTGCAGACATGTAGAAGTTCATCGCTTGGCAAGGGGGCGTGTTGACTTGGCGAAGCACATGCCCCAAGTATCTCCAACGACGTTCAACGATGTCTTCACTTATCGGACGTTCACCTGTGAGTCAAAGAGGGGTCCATTGCTGATTCGGTGCGGATAACGTATGTTGACAACATGTCTAAGGTTTTGCCGATGGAAGGCATCCAGTTTTTCACTTTCCGTCTCAGACAGAGCCCATGTCTCACAATTGTAGAGAAGGATCGGCTTCACCAGTGAGTTGTAGAGGTGGAGCCTTTTTCGGAGAGAGATTTTGGTCTTCCGAACCCAGACATTGTCTATCTCTCGCTAGGCGTTTCTAGCAAGAGTTTTTCTTCGGAGAATGTCTTCTTCGTCTCCGAGAAGTGATCCCAACTTCTTGTTCTTGCGCAAGAATTCCTCGAGACGTTCGCCACGTTTGATAACGATTTTTTCGGTCTCATCTACATTCACTGTGAGGTTATACACCTTGAGAGTCTCTTCAATTTTCTGGACTGAATCGTTGTTTTCCTCCAGAGACAAGAAGTCACTATCGTCGGTGTATACGATTTCTTTCGGCTTGTCGTCCACAGCGTAGGTGTGGTCTTTGGTCTTGTTGAAACCTTCTTCAAGGAGCCGACGAACATGTCTCAGGGCATCCTCGAAATATATGTTGAACAACATTCCGCTCAAACCATCGCCTTGTTGGGATCCGATGTTAGTCTCAAAATTTGCTCTCTCCTTAGCACCGTTAATTCGCAGTTCCAGAGAGGTGTCGGATATCAGAACTCTGATGAGTCTGTTAGCGTATTCATCTACAAAGCTCTCTACAATTCCAAGCAACTTCTCGCGCCGAATCGTGTCAAAGGCAGACGAGAGATCAATGCCAGTAGAGAAATCTTTGTCTTTTGGGCTCTCGCGATCGTCCATCTGTAGGCCCAGACAACATCGGTGGTGCTTCGTCCTGATCTGTATGCGCACTGGGAGGTGCTGAGGTAACTGTCGCAGTCGGGTTTTATTCTGTTGAGTGTCACAATGGATAGATTTTTTCTGATGGTCGGAAAGAATTTGATTGGTCTGAGATTTTTGATTGGACCCTTGCGTTTTCCAGGTTTGGACAGCGCAATAAAAACCTCGCGTCCGAGGTCCAAGTCTTTGTGCTCTTCGAAGATCTGGTTCAGCGCGCAAGTAATCATCTCTATGACTTTGTCTGGGCCGTATTTTAATACTTCTACGTTGATGTTTTCGTGGCCGCAAGCACGTCCATTTTTCAGACTCTTCACGCTCCTTTTGACTTCCTCAAAGGAGATAGGCTGGTCAAGCCTCCTCGGGTCTCCAGTGAAGCGGTCAACGCGGACTTCGTCTGGTTTGAAGAAGTGGTCCTTAAAGTGACTCTCCACGACGCGCGCAATTTCGTCAGCCTGTACTATCCGTTTCCCGTTTTCGTCGTTGACATAAGGATTCTCGTACGGCTTCAGTTTGAGAGCTCTTATCGCAGCAAACATTTCGGCGCTATTTTCGGTGGAGTCGGCATCTTCGACCAGGCCATCTAGTTCGTTTCCTTTCGGGAGTTTTTTCCTTTGTGCCATCTTGCGCACGATCGATTGCCTTTTCTTCTTTAGAAACAGGGTCTTCTCGTGTTTCTGTGCTTGTTTGATCTTCAGGCGGAGGGATTTTCGTTGTAAGGAGAGACGCTCCATTAAGGAATCAGACTTCACTTTTCCCATCTTCTGAACGTATCCCACAACCTCTTCGGTGGCTTTTTGTACTGCAACAACAGCGTTGTCCCAATTTGTCCAGGACTTTTTGGTATTCCTTTCTGACAGAATCGTCGTTTGCGAGCTAGGGGCAGTCGAATCTACGAGCTTGGTTCTTCCGTTGATTCTTAACTAGATAGACCCGAAACTTCCGGATGTCGTACTTAGCTATGACTATACAATGGTCGCTGTGTACGCGAGTCCCTGCATAGCTCCTGCTGTTGCGTAGGTTTCTCGTCATGTCCTGTTTACACAAAATAAAGTCTATCTGATTGTATATCGTCAGACACTTGTCATTGATTTGAAGTTTATTTTCCCAAGTGGTAATATGGGCGGCTTTGTGCTGGAAAGCGCTAATAGACATGAAGAAGGAGTTTGCTTCACAAGTTCAATTCTGGTCTATAGGCTTCGGCCTTTATCGACCAGCTCTTTCGTCGACGTCCATTTCGTCATTCCAAAAACGATGCGTCGTACATTTCGGACGCCCAAAGTTTGTCAAGTCTTGCTTTGAATATGTTGACGTTCTCGCTCGATATTATTCTTTCAGGCAATGAGTTCCAGTCGTTGATGGCTGCGATAGTGAAGAAGTTTTGTCTTGCTGTTGTTTTGGTTTTCCTCGTTAAAAATTTGTACGGGTTTCCTCGGGTGTCTCTTTCATTGATCGTAAACAGTCCTTCCGTTGCTGCGGCATCGTACATTCCTTTCAAAATTTTGAAGACTTCTATCATTCTTTCGCGCTTCCTTCTATACTCCAGCTTTGGCAGTTTCAGAGTTTTCAGTCTTTCCGGGTAATTAAGTTTTTGTATGTTTGCGACCAGTCTTGTCGCCCGCCGTTGAACGTTCTCAATCATGATCTTGTCCTTTTTCAGGTATGGGTTCCAACACTGATTTGCGTATTCCAGGTGCATTCTCACTAGGGCTTTATATAGGGTTGTTAGTACCTCAGCGTTAAGATAGATGAAGCTTTTCCGTATTATCGCGACCATGCCGTTGGCCAACCTTGTTTTCTTGGCAATGTGCTCACGGAATAGTAGTCTCGAGTCAACTATAACCCCTAAGTTTTTCTCGGTTTGAACATTATTAAGGTATGTATTCCCATCCAAGGTGTAATTTCGTTCCGCTAGTTTAACCCTTCGCGTTAACGTGAGCGTATGGCATTTTGTCATGTTGAACTTCATAAGGCTACCATCAGCCCATTTCGAAATTACATTCAGATCAGTTTGCAGTTCTTCATCTTCACCTAAAGCTGTGACTGATCTGTAGATTTTCGCATCATCTGCGTAGAGGAGCATTTGGGATGTGATTCCATCCCCATCGAGTTTATATATATTAAGAACAGAATTGGTCCCAGTACAGACCCTTGTGGGACTCCACTGATGACAGGTGCCCATTCCGAAAAACTTTCGTTGACCACCACTCTTTTTTTCTTTCTGTTAAGAATGAGGTAATCCATTCGAGAGTTTTTCCTCTGATCCCGTATCTCGAAATTGTGTTTAGTAGTTTTTTGTGGGGTACACTATCAAAGGCTTTTTGGAAGTCAAGGTAGATGATATCTACCTCGTTACCTCTGTCCAGTCGTCAAGTGCTCTCAGTAACTGTAGGGTCGTTGATCGCCCTGGTAAAAACCCGAATTGCTTGCCTGATATGATATTGTTGTTTTCTAAAAATTCAAACAGGTGACGTCTGATGATTTTTTCCATAATTTTACAACAAATGGAAGTCCGGCTAATAGGTCTGTAATTGTTAGGATCACTTTTTGCGTCCTTCTTGTGAATTGCTGTTATATTTGCGCATTTCCAATATTCTGGTATTTCACCTTTCTTCCAAGAACTTTGCATTAAACCACTCATCATTTCAGCTATTTCGTATCGGGACTCTCGCAATACCCGAGGGTGTACGTTATCTGACCCCATTGATTTCGTAGTGTCTAGCGCATTGAGTTCATTTAGGATTGTATCTTTGGAGATGAAGAGGTCATCAGATATTTGATTTTCTTGGTAATCCACTACTTCCCAGCTGCCTGGTGTTTCGATCGTGAATACAGAATTGAAAAAGTTGGCAAGAGTATCAGCCTTATCTTTGTCGTTCATGGCCCACTTGTCTGGTCCAATTTTGAGAGCCGGTATTGTTTCGGTTGTTTTAATTTTCTTATTCACGTAGAACTTCTTATTCAGAACTTTTTAGGTTGGTGTTTGATGCTTTTGGATACATCTTCGTGCTTTCGAACACATTGTCGTGTCAATTTCCTGACTTTGTTTCGAGCCGATGTGTAGTTTTAGTAGTTTCTTTGCGACTTCTCCTTCTTGAAATCTTTCCAAGTTTTATGTTTATCTCGAAGTACATCTCTTCCTTCGGAGCTCATTGGCTATTTGTGTTGCTTTATCCGGATTTTCATTTTAGGTTAAAATTTCTTGGTGGCAGAATCAAGAGTACTTTTGAATTTATTCCAATTTTGGTCAAGGGTTAGCAAATCTTCGTAAATTAGATTATTTTTTAAGTCAGACCTGAGTTCATCGTAGCTTCCTTTGTTGTAATTTAGCCTCTCTTTGGAGCGCCTTGTTGTCCAAAGGTTGAATTTTGCTTGTAACAGTGTGTGGTCACCTTTCCCCAGTGGAGAGAGGTATTCAATGGAAGATGGTTCTAAGGTTTTATCAGTTAATGAGAGGTCTTGCCTGATATGATATTTCATTGTGACGGTTCATTATGTTTGGTCATGTGTGTTGGTCTGTCAACATGTTGGTCGAGATAAGAATATTTGACCGCCTCAATGAAATGGTGTTCTTTGCTGTTTTATCGTGATTCGTGCTCACATATTTCCAGTCTATATCTCGGAAGTTTATGTCTCCCAGCACAATGTATCTACATCGACTTGATCCTATTTTTCTTTAAAAAATGTTGAGGTTGGAGCTGTTTTCGTGAGTTGATGATGGGCTCCGATATGTCGAGGCGATGACAACTTCTCCCTCCGTTAAAATCAAGTTAAACACTTGCAGTTCCTCGAATCCAGAGTCATCGTCTATTTCTTTATATTCGATGTCTTTGCAAATGTAAAGTAGCATGCTTCTTTTTTTCATTCGGATTCATGTTTTTGTGTTTTAAGTTGTAGCAATCAAGTTTGTGCCAAATTGGTTTCCATATGTTAACAGAATTCTTAGGTTTAGCTTCTCTAAGAGCAATAACGTGCGGTAACAGGTTTGTTTGATATATTAGCGTTTGTAACTCTATGAACTTTTCAGGATTTAGGATGTTTACATTCCCGATCCAGAGCTCAAAATGTTCTCTGTTTCCGGCGTTGTTCTTTGCATCATTGTTATCTCCCTTTTCTTTACTCTGATTATTTTGTTCTCTCTGACAATGTGAATGAAGTTGCCGGGTTCCTCTGCTGTTAAGTTTTTTGCTCGCTGCACTAGGAAGCGGACATTTTCCCTCTCTTTCATGCTCCTGTCTCGAGTGACTCTCAGGTGTTTTAGCTCATCCTTGGCATACTTCAATTTTGTCAGATTTTTCATCATGTGTTCAGCATCATCCTGTGTTTCCAGTGTGAATTTCAATGGTCTTGGCCTCGTTTCGTTTTCGTGGTCCTCAGATAATTTGCCAAGTCTAGTGCAATTTTTAACTATTGTTGGTTCAATTTCTATGCTTGCGCATAGCTCACGGATTAATGATATGTCTTCATTCTGTCGCAGTTTCGGTTCGGTTGATTTACTTTCCGGTGCTTTGTGTATGATTAGATTTCGTTTTCTTCTTAAATCTTCTTCCTCTTCTCTTTTTTGCTCAGCTCCAGCTTCAAGGATTATGTCTTTCAGAGGTTTAGTGACATTTGGTTCTATCTTCCAGGGATTTGCATTCGATCCCTTTGTTGGCTGTGCTTTGTTTTTTGTTCCATTCATGAAGTAATAAAAATCCTCCATTATAATTTTCACGGAATCAACAGTTTTATCCAGATCGGTCCTCATTTTGGATATATCCTGATGTGTTTTTGGAGTCACTGCCTCTTTCATTAGGTTCTTTACATTCTCGGTACAATTGTCGCAGCAATATAATCCTTTAGATTTCGACATGTAATCATAAACTGCCGTTGGCATTTTCAAACATTTTGCACAAAAAAGTTTTGCACAGTTATCGCACTCCAATAATTGATCCAAGGGATCTCCGTAGTTTTTTCTACAGGTTACACACGTCCAGGCCTCATCAACATGTGATTTATTTGTGTTTTTCCGTGTACGGTTACTCATTTCTAAAGACTTCACCTAGGCCGCTCCAGAGCAACTAAGTTCCAGGTAGCTACCAGAGTAAAATCTATAAAAAAAGAGTTTCTAACCTTACTGTTTTTTGCTTTTCTTTTTCTTCTTCTTGTTCTTCTTTTGCTTTTGAGGCCTGCTTCTTTTCGTGTTCGTTCTATCGCTTCTTTTTTGCGACTTTCTTTTTCTAAATAGGGGTTTTTACTTCTTCACAAGGGATTCGAGGTTTATCAATCGTTTTAATATAGTTTCAAGGAACTTTATTTCCAATATAGTTGAGGGGTGGATTTTCTGGAGATTGGATTGGTAACACCACTCGTTTTGTTTCCTTCTGGAGATTAGCTTTTTTTCTCCGGCTGGTATTACGAGAATGTCCAGCTTCCGTAGATCCTCGAAGATATTTCTCGTGCCTTCCCTTTGGCAATATATAATTGCTTTGATTCTCCAACTATGCTTTCTGAGTGTTTTGATTAGGCTGGGACTGATTCTGCTTTCTTGTTGTTGAGTCGATGTTTGGTGATCGTGTTATTCAGCACGTCGTGCCAAAGGATTATCTCTTTTTTGTTCCTGAGTGATCCCTTTTCCAGGAGAAAGTCGAGGTTCAGGACGTTATGGATAGATTTGGGATTGAGACTCAGTCCTTTCGTTGCAAAACTGATTCGGGACAATACTCTCTTCAATTTATTCGGGGCTACTTCGGTTGAGGCTTTGAGGGAACTGGCTCCAAATTGTATACACCATTAACAATCTTCACCCACGAAGCTAAAGGCATGGGACTTGTTAATAGTGTATCGATTCAGTCCTCTAGCTCAGATTATCTGAAATTACACGGTTTGTGAATTTGAAATGGACAAGCTATTTAATAAGTTTATCACAACAATTAGGCTAACAAGGCTATCACAACTTAGGCTATCACAACTTCACAAAAATCAACGAGTGTTTGCCCGCTTGGGTTTCTGCGTCCTCGTGTATAGCGTCCCATACACTCTTCGCCTTCTTGCTCTTTCCCGATCTTAGCATTAAAGTCTCCACAGATGAACACCGTCCCGGTAGTTTCATCTAGTGCGACATTAAGCTCATTCTAAAGATCATCCAATTCTTCGAGGTTCTCCGTTAGTCTTCCACTTTGGGGTACGAACACGTTGATGATGGTTTTTAGCTCCTTTGGTTTCTGGACTGTTAGTTTCAAATTTATGCTGTTCGGAACTTGAGTTGCTCTATAGACCTTCTTCCGTCGGATCTTTATTCTCATTTTCCCAACTTTAGAGGCGGTGAATTGCAGCTAGCATGTTTCAAGTTGAAGAGCCGAGATTCTGTCATTTATCTTCCAGTACTTGTAGACGTTGTTCTTCCACTTCTCGGATATGGCGAAGCCGTTTCCGTAGTGGGAGCTGTCCGATGGAAGGGAGACTACTCTGAAATTCTCGACAAAAGTGTCGCATCCAGAGCTAATCTTGGTCTCTTGAAAACAACATATATCCACTCTCTTTTCTTTCAAGTCGTTTGCCAGCTCGACCTTCTTCTGATCCTCAGTGAGACCTCTAACGTCCAAAGAGGCCAGTTTCAACTCCTTTTGTATGATACCGCTACCCGAGTCGAGATTTTTCACCTAATTTGAAGCAACATTTGAGCGGTTTGAGCGGTTTTTTTAGACAATTACGCTCAAAATCTTGCTTCAGAGCCTTATACGTTAGTCTATGCTGACTTGCTGCAAGCTTAATATTCGCTGTATTTGTTCTACTGAATATGCTCAATGTTTTAGACATGCACAACAAATATACTGTCAGGATTTTTGTTGTCAGTCTCTACAAAATAACAAAATAATCGATTATAAGATCGCACACCAACCCACCCCCCCCCCCCCACCTCTTACTAGAGTTGATGTCCCCCCTCACCTCTTACTAGAGTTGATGTCCCTTACTAGAGTTGATGTCCCTTACTAGAGTTAGATGTCCCCTAACTAGAGAGAGAGGGGGCACGTCTTGGTTGGGGGTTTCGTGGGAGGATGGTTAAACGTGAGGGGGTTACGTTTAGGGGGGGGGGGGTGTACG